AACGACACAAATTTAATATATTGGATGAGACTTTGCTGACTTGAAGTCACTGCTCACAAAGGGAGGTGCACTGCCTGCCCCGGGTCCTGATGCCGTGGCCCTACATGACAGGTTACAAAGTAAGAACAATTCTCCCATCACTTTCCTAGTATTTCAACTACTGCAAACTCTCCCACCTCTCCACCTTCCTGGAGCAAATGAATCTTTTATGAATTAAGCTTCCCTGTCTTGAAATCAACTTAATTAGAGACACAAATGTGAAGACTGAAGACAATGACAAAGGTCATCAATATCCAAGACACGTTTGACTTTTCTAAAGACTATCATCACACTTAACACAGAGAAGTTTTAAATACTTACCGAGAGCTTGTAGACCTCAAAGATATATCTGCAACGTCTTAGCATTCCTTAAATCCCAACAAGACTTGATGCCCCCCAGGGACCTCTGTGGCACCATAAGCAGTGCCAGGCACAATAATAACATTAATTCAGCATTTTACAGCTTGCAAACACTCAACCACATTATCTTACTTCATCTCCCCAAGAACCTTATAAAGTAGATATTATTATTACCATTTTACAGATAAGGAAACATTTGTAATGAGGATCAAGAGGTCAAGTGGCTCATCCAATGTCATGAGGCTAACTAGCAGCGCTCAGCACTTGGACAAGTATTCTGACTCCCAATCCACGACACCACAGCTACTGCTCTTTTGACCTCTATAAAATCAACTAGACTTTTAGTGGCAGAGGCGATGTTCTTAACAACCTTCTGACATGAAATCAGGATGACTGTAGGCCAAGGCAAGTCTTGTGATGCAAGTCTGTTCCTGCGTAACACCTGTGAGTTGCAAACTTCTTGTCAGTCCTTGCCCTGTTTATATGAACCACTTAGCTACCACAGATACCTTTAGGGAAGAGTCTGAAATAAGTAAATGCACAGCTTGCTTTTGGTGTCATGCTTGTCTCAATCAAAGGAAGGACAGAAGAGAACAGAAGAAGACCTCCATGTTTCTTCCTGGTGGTAGCCCTTTCAAATGCATAACATCTGCAGATCCATCCAATGGCTTATAGACACTCATCTCTGTGTTTTCTCCACATGCAAGGCAATTACTAGAATCGTGATATCTAATATACTAGCCACCAGTCACATGTTGCTATTTACATTACTTTTTTTTTTTTTTTTTTGCGGTACGCGGGCCTCTCACTGTTGTGGCCTCTCCCGTTGCGAAGCACAGGCTCCGGACGCGCAGGCTCAGCGGCCATGGCTCACGGGCCCAGCCGCTCCGCGGCACGTGGGATCTTCCCGGACCGGGGCACGAACCTGTGTCCCCTGCATCGGCAGGCGGACTCTCAACCACTGCGCCACCAGGGAAGCCCTACATTACTTTTAAGTTAATCAAAATTAAAATTTAAAGTTCCTTAGTCACATTAGCCACATTTCAAGTGTTCAATAGTCACGTGTGTTTAGGGGCTGCCATGTTGGAGAGCACAGGTATAGAAGATGTCCATCATCAGAGAAAGCTCAATCAGATAGTATTGTCCTAGACTCTAACTTATGCAACAACAACAACAACAACAACAACAACAACAAAACTCAAGCATCAAAGTATATAATTTTGACTTCCAGAAAACTCAGGCTCTTACACGCATAAGGCTCTGCTGGGCCTCTGGGCAGGTGTGCTTGGAGTGGATGTGGGGGATTACTGCAGTTTTGCAGGACTAGAAAGAACCAGAAGGTGGAACAAAACACACTTCACAGCTGGCAGCTACAGCCATGCTGCTGACTCCCTCCTTTGGTGGGGTTTGGTGTGCCCACCAGAATGCTGCCATTCATGTGCAGCACACACAGCCACCCTGCCTGTCCAGCCCAGCACTGATGGAATCTGTATAAACCTGAGTCCGTGATGGTTCATTTCCAGGGGCCCGCAGGCTGAGAAGGAACAAGTGATGAAATAAAATTGCATGGGAAGGTTCTAGCCACTCATGAAGATCATCTACCTCAAAGCTCCATGACTCATAATTTCTCTTATTTGTTCAGTATAATTCTTTGGGTTACAGATCAGACTCTATATGCCCAGGCTTAGAATGTGGAATAATAAGGGGTAGGGAGTCAGTAAATGTATTTTTCTTCAAACTCACATTTATTGATTCATTTATTCTCCCTTCCCCCTATCATGGAATCTAAGAGGGGATCCAGGAGAGTTTAGGAGCTCTTCCTGTCTACACTCAGTGGTCTCCCACCTCAATCTCTCCTGTGATTCTTCCTTATACTTCTCAAAAGACATAATAAGAGGGAAAAGACTCCTCAAGCCCTGTGTTGAATGAGAGAGAGACAGAGCCCACCAGTCAGTGATAGACACTCTCCCCTGGTACCACCTTGGCTGGGGTTTAGAGTCTACAGCTGCATGGTCTAACACAAATACAACGGGAGCCACATAGGCAATTTTAGATTTTCCAGTAGCCACATTAAGAAAGTAAAAAGAAACAGGTGAGGGCTTCCCTGGTGGCGCAGTGCTTGAGAGTCCGCCTGCCGATGCAGGAGACGCGGGGTCGTG